GCATGTGTCTCATGGTTAATAATCTAAGTGGGATTAGTTATTTTGATTAAACCAATAAACCGCTCATGTTGAGGTTGTCAACCTCAGTTGATTTCATTTTAAGTTTTATTGCTACTATCGGGTCAATATAAGACATGTGTTCTATATTAACTAGATAGTAAGTTTTATTAATGAATGTGTCTCGTTATTAATAACTACCCTCGATTAATTGAAAATACTCCACCATTGAGTATTCGAGAGGAAAATAGTTAAAGATATAATCGGAATCGACGAACATATCACTAAGTTTATAGAAACAAAACCAAGTATTCGTCACTATTTATTCAAACCACACAAGTAATTAATCTTAGTGTTTAATTAATTAAATCAAAACAATCTTGAAACCCCCTTGATACAATTTTATTAAAGAAATAGTTTTTTCCCTGTGGATACGATTCTTACTACACCATGCGACGGTATTAGTGCAATATTGAATTTATTTTGAGGCACACAACGACTGTAGTGTCATCACTTGATGAGCCGCACCTCCTAGTGTTTTTCTTTAATTTTTTTGAGCACTTCTAAAAATCGAAGTTACTGTTCATTGTCTTCCTCTGACGATTTCTAACGGTGTTTTGCACCGGGACCCTCATGTGCATGGTAACAGAATTTACACACGTGAGCTACTTTGTTAAGAAATGAAACACAAGTCTCTATCTGGAAACGAACCTAACCACATGTATAGTTTTCGTACTTTTCCCTTGGGTGTAGCTTTAGTCTTCTCTTTCTCTGTATTGTTTTATTTTCTTCCTTTTATTTTCTTTTTTTCTTACTCTGCATTTTCTTTCTCTGTACTATTTACCTTTTTCAATAAAATTCTTTTATTAAAAATAAATAAATAAAAATAATAAAAAGTTTTCGTACTTTTCCTTAGTAACAATTATGGAGGTTAATTAGTTGTCGAGTGTGTTATCTAAATGTAGATTAAATTTAGTAGAATGGTAATGTGGTATGTGTACTCTCAAGCAGTATATACTACGGAGTACTATGCTAGTGATGAGAATTTCACTTTGGAAGCTTCCGTTTCTAAGTGACTGTGTATGTGTACTCTCAAGCAAACAATAGTTGAAACCTTAAGGGTTTATAGACTTACCCTTTCTTCCCATTTTAGTTAGCCAAAGTTTACGTTTTAAGTTAATAGTGTCCTTTGACTGATTATTACATAGGTAATTACTCTAAATAGGACTAAAAATGTTTGTATAATTCAAAATAGGACTATCATGTTTTCATTCCCCAAATAGGACTAATTATTGTCATGTTTTGGTAGTACCGAATTTTAAACATGGCACTATTTTCCAAACTTTTCAATAATTACTCCTATTTTGAGAATAAAAACATGACAATCCTATTTTAAAATTTTCAGACTTTTTTACTCTTATTTCAGGAATTTTTACTTGTTATACATTTATATACAGAAGTATTGATAATATGAAAATGATATGAAAATAGTCTTGATAAAAAAAAAAATACCATCATAAGAGTATAAGATTATTGAACTTTGTATAAATGTAACCCCGTATTAGTTAAAATATTGATCCAAATTTATTATCTTTGACGGAAAAAGTCAAAGATACCTAACTAAAATGGGATGAAGATACTATTATTTTTCATGCATTCAATTGAAAATAACAACTGTTCAAACCCGGTCACTTTTTAGATGGGGGCTGAACTTTTTTGTCCCAGCTGAAATGGACTAACTAGATTAAGCTTTGCCAAGGATGATCTTTGATAATGTTTTTAACATACATTGGTATAATGGTAGAAACTATCCAAATACACCAAGCATATACTACCTATGTGCCACTTTATGTGTCTCACTTTAACTTGACACAATTATGAATAAAGTGGTTGAAAAGGTAAAAGTTGTGGTTGCGGTTTGAGTATAATAAAGTGAAATGGTGTAGGTCACGTATTTCTTTCCAAAAAAGGAAAGGAAACGCTTATTTTAGGACAACACAAAAAGGAAAGTAAGACAAGTAAAATGGGACAGAGGGAGTATATGTCTTGCAGGTAAATCTCTTATTCCCATTGATACTACAGTTGCTCTTGACCCTTGTGATCATTGTTTGGCAGGTAAGCAGCATAGAGCTTCTTTTGCCAGGAAGTCTACTAAGAGGCAAGCTAAGCTAGAGCTTGTACACTTCGATGTTTGTGGTCCCATTGAGGTAGAGTCTAATGGTGGCAGCAAATACTTTGTCACTTTCATTGATGATGCTACCAGAAAAACTTGGGTTTACATGTTGAACACCAAGAGTCAAGTGTTTGAGACATTTCAAAAATTTCATGCTATGGTGGAAAGGGAGACGGAAAGAAAATTAAAGAGCCTTCGTTCTGACAATGGTGGTGAGTATACTTCATATGAGTTCAAGAATTATTGTTCACACCATGACATTCGACATGTGAAGACAGTTCATGGCACTCCACAGCATAATGGTGTTGCAGAAAGGATGAACAAAACCATTGTGGAGAAAGTGAGGCGTCTGAACTACCTAAGTCATTTTGGGCAGAGGCAGTGAATAATATTGTTTACTTGATTAACCGTTCTCCATCTATTCCTTTGGGTCTTGACATTCCAGAGAGAGCTTGGAAGGGATGTGATCCCACATATTCACATCTTAGAGTTTTTGGGTGCAAGGCTTATATGCATGTGCCGAAAGATCAAAGATTGAAGCTTGATTCCAAGACTACTCCATGTGTGTTTGTTGGATATGGTGATGAAGAGTACGGGTTTAGTTTCTATGATCCTAAGAAGCAGAAGGTAGTGAGAAGTAGAGATGTCGTGTTCTTCGAGCAGGAGAAGGGAGCAGAACTTTTGGGTGCCAGGTATCATACTTACTCTAATTCATTTATTGATACTACTGATGTTTCTTCTGTTCCTACTTCTGTTTCTGTTGAACAGCCATCACATGATGATCTTGATACAACACATGATGGTGTTGAGGATATGCAACCCGATGATGATGATGATGATGATGATGATGGTGATGTACCACCGTTTGATGGTGCTCCTAATGATGCTCAAGCAAATAATGAAGAGGTTCATGAGCAAGGGGTGCAACATACCCCGCTAGTTGATGATGTTCTGGTTAGGAGGTCAACGACAGGTCGTAAACCTTCTACAAAGTATCCAAACATAGACTACATCTTAGTTACTGATGAGGGGGAGCCTGAGAGTTTTCAAGAAGTGCTGAATAGTGAAGAAAAAGATCTTTGGCTCGAGGCTATGAAAGAGGAGATGGATTCTTTGAAGAAAAATAATACTTATGAGTTAGTGAATCTTCCCCGAGGCAAGAAAGTCTTGAAAAATAGATGGGTTTTCAAGAACAAGAAAGATAGTGAGAAGATAGTGAAGCAGAAAGCTCGATTGGTGGTCAAAGGATGCAACCAGAAAATGGGCATTGATTTTAATGAAATCTTCTCTCCTGTTGTCAAGATGACTTCTATTAGAACTGTTTTAGCAGTAGCCGCAAGTCTTGATCTTGAATTGGAGCAGCTTGATGTAAAAACTGATTTTTTACATGGTGACTTGCATGAAGAGATCTACCTGGAGCAACCTGAAGGCTTTGTAGAAAAGGGGAAAGAGAAACTTGTTTGCAAGTTGAAGAAGAGTCTTTACGGGCTTAAACAGGCACCAAGGCAGTGGTATCGGAAATTTGATTTGTTTATGACAATCAATGGTTATAAATGGACTTTTGCAGATCCTTGTGTGTATTTCAGAAAGTTCCCTGGTGGCAACTTCATTATCCTTCTTTTGTATGTAGATGATATGTTGATAGTTGGGCAAAATTCATTGATGATTAGAAACTTGAAGAAAGATTTATTCCAAGTCATTTGATATGAAAGATTTGGGTCCTGCAAAGCAAATGTTAGGCATGGAGATTGCTCGTGACCGGAAGGCTAGAAAGTTGTGGCTTTCTCAAGAAAAGTATATTGAACGTGTGCTTGAAAGGTTCAATATGAAGCAAGCTAAGCCGGTTAGTACACCACTCGCATCACATTTTAATCTAAGCAAGAGAGCGTGTCCTACAACAGAGAAGGAGAAAGCAAGTATGTCCAATATTCCTTATTCTTCTGTTGTTGGTTCTTTGATGTATGCTATGGTGTGTACAAGACCCGATATTGCACATTCTGTTGGTTTGGTGAGCAAATACATATCCAATCTGGGTAAGGTTCATTGGGATGCAGTGAAGTGGATTTTCAGATACTTGCGTGGCACTTCCAAACTTTGTTTGTGTTATGGAGGTGGCAAACTAGTTCTTGAGGGGTATACTGATGCAGACATGGCTGGTGATCTAGACAGTAGAAAATCTACCTCAGGTTCTGTGTTCACACTTTCAGGGGAGCCATTTCCTGGCAATCTAAGTTACAAAAGTGTGTGGCGTTATCAACTACTGAGGCCGAGTATATAGCAGCTGTGGAAGCAAATAAGGAAATGCTTTGGTTGAAAAGGTTCCTTCAAGAATTGGGTTTGGAGCAAGGTGAGTATATAGTATTCTGTGATAGTCAGAGTGCTTTAGATTTGAGCAAGAATTCCATGTATCACGCTCGAACCAAACATATTGATGTTCGGTATCAGTGGTTGTGGAATGTGATTGAAGAAAAGTTGATGAAACTAAAGAAAGTTCATACAAACAAAAATGGTGCAGACATGCTTACTAAAGTGGTTCCTGGAAGCAAGCTTGATATTTGTGGCAAGTTTGCAGGGATGAGCTTCAAGTGGTGATTGAAGAGTGTTCGTCTTCCCCGTGTTGGGCTGGAGGGGGAGATTGTTATCGGTCCAGCCCATATTTGCAATATTTTATATTGTTTTTGTTGTTTATGTTTGGGCCTTGTTTGATGGTTTTTTATGTCCTATTTTTTGGGTCCATTTGATATTGAGATTTGGGCTTCTAAGACAAGTTTTTTTGGAGTTCCTTTTGCTGTAAAAGATCAGCTGGGAAGGTTTGGCAGATAGAAAAACGCACACACACACAAAACAGAAGGTTTTGGGGACATTCCCATTTTTCGACCTGTAGTACGCTGCTTTGTTCAGGTCGTCGATCGGAGGTCTTCCCATGGTCGGATTCTGCTGAAATTTGGACAGCTTGTTCGTGACTTCAAGGGCTTCATTTTGAACGGTTGGATTGTTCATTTGAGCTCTGGTTTGGTCAGAAACGCTGCACGAACAGACCTGCAGTTTTGGGTGATTTCTACACCTTATTGTGCTATTTTGATCTCTTATTGTTCTTGATGATTGTTGGTGGGCTGTGAATCCTTTGTAAACTGATTTTGGGTTCTATTACCCTCATTTATCAATAAGAGAATTAAGGGTGGACTCCTTAAGAGGTCTCATGGTTTTTTATCCTTCACGTTGAATGGTTTTCCACGTAAAAAATTGTGTGTGCTCCGTGTGCTTTATTTCCGCTCTTTGTTGTGCTTTATATTTTGCAATAGTGCTGTTTTTGTGTGGTAATTTGGTTGGGTATCAGTTTGGGTTGCATATTTAGTTGATTGTCCTGAGGTTGTGACTTTGTGGGTGTCATAGAGACCCCTTATTTGATCCCTAAAAGTACTCCTTCCGTCCCACTAAGATTGGGATAATTCGGTTTACGATGCTTGACCAACGATATAACAAACAGATCTCTGTTCGCTCTCAAATTATTTTTAGAAAAAAAAATTACTTTTTCAGAAACTACATTAAAAGCTTTACAATGTCGCAAAAACCTGAATCAAATTTGATAAAAAAATTGATATATAAAGTAACAGATTAAGAGTGATTTGTATTGACCAAGTGAATAGTGTCTGAAACAATCTTAGTGGGACGGGGGGAGTATTAGTTATGAACTTATTTGATCATACATTCTTTATTTACCCTCATTGCATACATTAAGTTTACCATTTCCCCAAAACAAAACATAAGTAGTGTGACTTTTAATGAGGACATTTTGGGTAATGAATTAAATATTTTGAGTAATATATCATAACAGTGTGACTTGATTAGCATACTAAAGTATTGGTAGAGTATGTATTCTATTTCCATATGGTACCTCACTGTTTGGAAGTAAGGCTGTAAGGGTTAACCTTGACCCCCAAAATGGGTGTGTTTGTTTTTTAGGTGTAACTCTAGGTACCGGGATTAAAACATAACATATGAACTATAAAACCGTCCATGAACTCTTTTCTATGCTTAGTAGCCCATTAAAAGTATTTTATTTTGCTGTTATCATTGTACAAACATTGGAAGTAGGGGCGGAGCCAAAGGGGTCAGAAAGTAGCATCAATTTGATATATTATGGCTCTAGTAACTCCCTACGTCTAAAAAGCTATGATGACTTTTGGACAATCAATACTAATCTAAGCTTAAAATGAGTAAAGTTTGATGTGTAATATTGATTACATTCCCAAAATTTAAAAAAAAAACTATGATTCACTTATTATTTATGTGACAAGACTCAAAGACAGAAGAAAGACAACTTATCTTTTTACAACGAGTGTCTACTCAATAGTCAATTATTTTCTTGTAAGAAATCCTTATATTAAGTTGGGTGAGAGGAGAAGTGTACAGTTCTAGGGTAATACAATTGGTCTCATCTGAGGTAATAAGTGGTGCAAAAACCCGTGATTAAATTGGTATAAAACAATTTTCTAATGCATATGACATACGTAGTATATATCAAATGTATATCTCTATTAGTCTCATTTAAATTATCATTTATCTAAGGTACATATGAAACAATAAACTCGAGTATTGTCTAAAAATGATCCATCTTTTTCATTTTCTTATATAGTTGAATTCCCCCACCCACCCACCCCCGAATCGTTTTTTGGCACTTCCAATTTGGAAGTGTTTTACAATGTATGACAAGCAAGGATGAGATATTGACATTGACATTGTTAAATGGTAGAGTGATTAATCGGTATATGAATGTGATGGATTAATTTTATGCTTGAATTTGAGGTTAAGCTGCCATCATCTGCTATTGACCAGGCTCCACGCGATCTTGTGAGCAACGTTGAATCAAACCGTGCTTGGGATCTTCTCACCCCTTGTTATGAAGGAGACTCCAATAATGACTTTTCTATTTCGGGTTTATTATTTCAAGCAGATATAGAGAACCATGTCCTTGTCGAGAAATTTATGGTATTAAATATTGCTGAAGTACCTCTCTGTTCTGAGGCTGTGCTGAAGTCTGACTCATCTATAGCAACCATCAAGGATTACTTCCAAAACACTATGACCAATGGAGTGGACTCACTTTCTCATTTTTTAATTAGTGAATTTGAAAAAATCCTTGCCTCTTTTTTGGGTGATCGCGACACACGGGCTATGAAACTAGATGATGTAGAGAAAACTAGCAACGGTATTTTGGAGGACAACAATACTATTAAAGGTAATAAGCCTTCTGTAGGTGACGAGTGTGTCTTTGTTGATCACATTTATTCATATTCAGCGGATGAATTTCTCGGTCATGCCTCAAAGAGCGAGAAGAGACCTCCTATATCATCAATGGAAGATCTTTGGGATTCTGACACTAACCAGGATGTGTGTAACAAGGCTACTCTGGCTACGTGGGACAACTATTTGCCTACATTGAATTTGAACACTCAGATTAAACTATATAGGAAAAAGCATCAGCGATCACATATAATGAGGACTAGATCACAATCTCGTATGGATCTTTTCTGTCTAGAATAAGCTTTTTTTCTTTCTTGGGTGGTTTTTCTCAGTTGCACTGCAGGTTGGGTTACCCTTTGCATGTTTTTGCTTTTCTTTTTTAGCATTTTCCCCTTTCATTGTTTTCCTTTTCTTGCTTTATTTTTTGTATTTTCTTGTACTCTACTTTGCGTTAATAAAATTGAGTTCTTTTGGCAAAAAAAAACAAATAGGAGAGTTTGAGCTATAGAAGGGAAGAAGATGAATAGTAATGTTGAATGTGTAATATTAGTTCTAGGGTTACAAGAGGCTACAAGAGAAGTATAAATAGGGAAATCCGGGTCTGAGCCTCTAATATGGGCCCGATAGACCCGGTTACATAAATGGAGTGATAATAAAAAGGGCTAATCTAGTGGATACAAATACAAATTGGACTGTACAATAATACAAGTAATATAATATATGTAAGGCGTGTGTGATCCGCTAGCTGTCCAGGCCCAATAATCGTGAGACCCGGGGGTCCAAGTCTATATACTCTATCAGAATGTTTTTCACTGATCTCTCAAGGCATAATTTGATAATGAGATTGGGTATGTTATCATGCTTGGAACATGATATACACTTTTCTAGTTTTTTTTAAGAAATCATAATAAGTTGTTCAAAATTAGGAGAGTAAATAAGAGCACACTTTTCCCATTTTTGTGCCGCGTTATACGGGAAAACATCATCCGATTTATTGTTAAGTATTAATAAAGGTAGTGACGCACCGATGCCAGCACAGTGTCGTAAAAGATAAGGACAGTTGCTTACCGCGTGAACACCATGCATTGGTCTATTTGTGTAATTACTTATATCGATCAAATTATATTAGATTATGAAAAGGACAACTTTAATTAATAAGTAGTCATTTTAATGTGAATCAAGTTGTTTAAATCATTAAATCAAGTTGTATAATTTGCTTGGGCCTACGTTTTGGGCTAAATTATAAATAAGCTAAGGTATTCATGTATGCGTGTATCTTTTATCACTACATTTGACAAAACATTTTTTATATGGATTTTGGCACGATCAAATTGTTCAAAGAAATCCTATGTACGATTTTTAGATGTAATAATAAATTGTTTATAAGTGTATAACTTACTTGGGTAGTTGGGTGTATGTTTGGGGCTAAATTTTGGATAAGCTAAGGTACTCTGGTATGCGGGATCTCTAATACATTGTACTACCTATATATCACCTCTTACAAATATAGTAAGATCATTTTTGTTTGACAAATTTAGTCAGATTATTTCAACAACAAAAGATTAGTCAAATATCGACACAAACTTATTTAATACAGAAATGTTACCCTACCTATAAACCATTGTGTGTGGAGCCCACGTTAAGCAATATGTTAACAATTAGGATACACTTTCGTAAGTTCCGTTACAAGTTTAAGTTTAGGTTTCAAGGGAAATTATCATTGACCCCTGAGGTTTGATGCATTATCAATCACACCCCTATACTATAAAAAATATACTCTTACCCCCCTCTATATCCTTTAATGATGGTTAAATAACTCTTAATCTATATTTAGAGAAAATTATGAATATAATTTCATAATTTTTCTATGAGTCTGCTTTTAATATTGTAATTCTATTCAACCACAAATCTGGTCGGGTAATTAATAAATTTGTCCATATTAAAGACCTTTCTATTGGAAGTCGAACCAAATAAAAAAATGACCAAAACTGACCTTACTCTAGGTAGTTCGTTTTATGCATTTTAATTTGTAAAGTGAGTAAATTTACTCAATAGAAAATGATCAAGATATGCTAAATTTGACAAAATTTGAAACAAATGAACATAAATGAACCAAACCGACTCAAAAGTGAAGTTTCCTACTCGATTTAACCATTAAAAATTGAACGCAAGTAAATTCCCAATTTAGACACTCTTTGTTATCACTGAAAATGAGATCACTATATATAGGTATAATAATAACTTGTAGATTTAAATATTTGACAAAATATGAACATGTTTACATGCAAATTAAAATATTAGTACAGACATTATAGTTTAGGACGGGTTCTACACCCAAATTGGTTAGTGCTAAATAATTAGGGCGGCCCGTGGCCTTATCTTCAGTTCCAATCCCCTAATTGGTCTAGGTTCGCTCCCAATATTTTTTTAACTACCTATATTTCTACTTTTAAATGGAATATAGCCCATTTTAATGTGTTCTCAATGATTTTAATAAAAAAAAAATGAACAGGGTCAAAACATAGACTCCAATCCCGATCATTTTTAAATTAATTTTTTTAACGGTCATTTTACGTCTGAAAAGCTAATTGCAAATTTTTACCTAGTTACTAACATTTTATTTCAAACCACTAATGAAAGCGGTTAGTTAAAAAGCTAATGTAATCCGCTATTATCAATCTGCTGATTCAACCGGGTATGAGCTAGCAACAACTACTATTATCAAACACGGTCGTTAACATTTTTAGACCTCCACTTTTGATGACAAAATCAAAGTAAAAGGACGACAAATGTCAATTTCACAATACTTAAAATATGAAATGTCGGGAATTCTAAAGTCGAGAACAAAAGTTTATTACTTACAAAAAATTGACCAAAGCAAGTATTTCTCATACAAATTTCCAATAGGTAACAATATAGTCTCCTAAAAGTCCTTCACCAACATCTGTTTTAGGTATAAAATAACTCTGCTCATTATTTGGCATCTTTCCCTCGTTACAAAAGTTTCACCAAGATTTCTACAATCTCAGATATATTTTCAAACTTTTAAAAGCATTAGAGATTTATTGTTTTAAGCTTGTACCTTTCGATTGTGTCTGCTACTAGTCCTATAATTTTACTCACATGTAGATGTAGTTATGCACCTAATAAATTTGTCAATAATAAGGATTATTTCATCATAAAGTACGCGTTCCCACGACAAAAGTATGTTCTGGTGGAAAGATTCTTAATACAGATAAATTTATTTATAATCAGATTAAATCTACAAGTGAGTAAATTTATAAAACTAAATTCATACTCTTGCTAAACGTAATTAGGAGTTAATACACTTTCATTAAAGGATAGGGAGGGGGTAAGTGCATATTTTCAATAGTGCAGGGGCCTAAATGATAATACATGAAACCTCAAGGGAGGTTAATGATAATTTCCCAGGTTTCAAACATGAATACTAGGGAAAAAAGAAGGAAAAGGTACCTGTGGTGGGATTGGTTTTCGGATAGGGGTTTGTTTTTCATTTTCTAACAAAGTGAGTCATTATTTCAATTATGTGATCGGGAAAGGGGCCTGATGCCTAGCGTCGTTAAGAAATCGCTAGAGGAAGACGATGAACAATAACTCCGATTTTCAAAGTTCCCCAAAAATTAAAAGAAAAATAGTGGGAGGTGTGCTTCATTAAGTAGACTTCCAAACCATCTTAAGTAGACTTCCAAACCATCTTTCTCTATGCATTTTTGGATTTGTTTATATTACATTTAAAAAATGAATTTGCTGATACCATTTTTCTGATAGACTTTATAGCGACAAGGGTAGCTGGACACAAAAAAAATGACCAGGATGTCGTCATGATGAGGCACATATCCTAGTTTTTTTCTTTAATTTTTGTGAGCACTTTTAAAATTCAGAGTAATTGTTCATTGTCCTCCTTCGACGATTCCTAACGGTGTTTGGCACCGGGCCCCTCATGTGATAACAAAATTTAAACACGAGTTGCTTTGTTAAGAAATGAAACACAAGCCCCTATGGAGGTTAATTTGTTACTAAGTGTGTTATCTAAGTGTAGATTAAATTTAGTAGAATGGTAAAGTGGTGTAATCCGTATATACTAGTGATGAGAATTTCACTTTGGAAGCTTCCGTTTCTAAGTGTTGTCCGTGTAGTTGCAAACAAACGATAGTTGAAGCTTTGAAGGTTTATAGACTTATAATATTTTTCATGTATTCAATTTAAAAATAACAACCGTTCAAACCCGGTGGGGACTAACTTTTTTGTCCTAGCTGAAATGGACTAACAATATTAGTGTTCCCAAGGATGATCTTTGATCATGTTTATAACTACATTGGTATTATGGTATATACCGCCAAGCATACATGAAATATGCAGTATATGAATGGAAGACTTAGATAAGGTCACAAGGACATACTCTCTTGGGCTACATTTTGCTGGCAGTCCATTTAATTATGATCTGATTTAGTCATATTTATTTAATTATTGTCCAGTGTGGATGATCTTAGCTAGTTTTAGTTTTGAACTTATTTGGTCATATATTCCTTATTTACCCTCATTGCATGCATTAAGCTTACCATTTCCCCAAGACAAAACATAAGTAGTGTGACTTTTAATGAGGAAATTCTGGGTAATGAATTAAATATTTTGAGTAACATCAAAACAGAGTGATATTTCCATAGTGTACCTCACTGATTGGACGGGTTAACCTTGACTCCCAAGAGAGGCGATCACATGCACTCACACTAATTCCATAGCCTACATGATGACACCAATAGAAATAGCTTTTGTTTTATACAAAATACTCTATTTGTACACCATTTACAAATTCCAGTTCATATGATGAAATGTCTAAAGGAAAATTTATTCTGACAAAAGATGGGGTTTAGATTTGAAAGCTAGTGTTGCTCAAAACAGCACTTTTCTTCCATCAGTTTGTATAAGGCCACTAATCTTCCATGCTGATTATGCATCTCAGTCCTTCCCCTCTCAGCATGTAATCAAATGCTTTGTTGATATCAGAAAACGGAACACGGTGAGTTATAAACTTCTCCACCTCAAGTTTCTGCAATGTCAAAATTTGAAGTTATTAGGTGACCTACTGACGTTATTGTTTTCTGTTTTCTTAAATCTGTTTTTGTTATCACTTTTCTGAAAGTAGAAACTAGAAGAAAAAAACAGAAACAAGACAATGTGTTTGACAGTAGCGTTATTGTTTTCAGATTCCAAGAGTAAAAAGATGCAGAATTTTGAAAATTATTGGAAGCGGAAATGTGAAGTTTTTCAAACACATGTTTCTGGTTTCAATAGATCTTATAGAACATTTAAAATGTTTGAAAACACGATTTGTTATGATATAAAGTTACAATATACAAATCTTCCGAGCTCGTTTCATATTTTAGAGGTAGAAAAAACAAAAATTCTGAAAACGGAAAACATAAATAACAATATCAAACAAACTCTTAACACACAATTGTAATCTGGAAGTATATGAAGGGTT